AACCACATCATTTTCTACAATTTGAGTAATTATAACAGATTTCTCCCTTTCCTGGTGTTTATTGATCAATTCCTTTTCTATTTTCTGGGGTTTTAGATGTAAATCATCAGCTCTCTATTGGTGCCAACATGATGGCTGCTTCTGGGGCTGGAGCTGCAACAACAATTGTAACAAATCCTCTTTGGGTCGTCAAAACAAGATTTCAAGTATGTATATATACAGCAGTTATTCTTGCATTCTGTCATTTGGAATATGTAGTTTGGTTTTTTTATATTAATGATGCATAGTAGAAGTAATTAATGTTAAGTATATGCAAGATCTAAAGTTCATATGTTTCACTTAAAGCTTAAAATGGACTCAGTATGTATTTGAAATGAGGTTTTCTCTTGAACCGGAAATGCATTGTCACAAATTCATTTTTTTTAAGTGAATTTGAAAATTCGCTTGGAAACTGTTATATTTGCGTACTGCAACGTAGTTTATTTAGAACAATTTTTTTTTTTTAAAAAAAAAATCAATCTTATTGGTTAGACAGAAAAGTAGTTTGTTATACACGTGTGCGAACTTGGTATATTTTAAATGGTGGATGATATAGTGACTTGTGCAGTTTGATAGAAAATACTACCATTCATCTTCAAATAAAGTTAAAAAGTAATTTTTTATGGATCCAATAGATGGCTCCCATGCCTGTTGCTTTCTATGTTTATTATACATACTTATATATATGTATATATATATATTCGATTACGTCCTGTATTGTCCTTTTCACGATAAAGATGAATTTAAATCCTAGCGATATGTTATTCAGACACAAGGAATGAGAAGTGGTGTGGTGCCTTATAGTGGGACCTTATCTGCCTTGCGAAGAATATTACATGAAGAGGGTTTTTGTGGATTGTATAGGTCAGTTACCTCTTCCAAAATTAGCCTTACAGTATGTTTCAGTCAATCTTAAGGCCAAGGGATTAGTTTCTTGATGTTTTCCGTGTTTTTTCGTGATTTGCAGTGGTCTTGTGCCGGCTCTAGCTGGTATTAGTCATGTTGCAATTCAGTTTCCTACATATGAGAAGATAAAAAGTTACTTAGCTGAGAGACGTATGTAATCACCATTTTTCACCTAAAAAAAGAAAATAACGATCCTGCTGTTGTTCCCTTTGTATATTGGAAAATCCTCTGAAAACTGTCGTGATGACTTCAGGAAACACCACAACGGATAACCTTAATGCAAGTGATGTGGCCGTAGCTTCATCAGTTTCGAAAATATTTGCTTCCACATTGACCTATCCACATGAGGTTAGTGCAAAAGAGATTTCATCTCTATCATTCTTTTGTATTTCTCCCACGCAGAAAAGTTTTTTTCTGGTATAAGTTTTTTTGTTCCTTTTTCGTATCTTCCTCAATACTCATACCCCGGCTGTCCATTCTTACACTCTACAAATTATGTGCTAGTTTAGATTATGTTCAGTGATATAACAGAAGGATTTATCTATATATATTATTATACATAGTTTTGTTTGTTGAGTTGGTGATAAAATTAGTAACTCGGAATTCTAAAGAAAATGAAGATTCAAAATACCAGTAATACGTGACGCGAGCCACAATTGAGATTTTATATTCATTATATATATTAAGATCCGTTTCCTTCATTATAGCTCTATCCCTCTAAAATACCTATTCAGCAGCTTATTGGCATGCACAGGTTGTACGTTCAAAGCTTCAAGAGCAAGGGTACTACTCAGAGAAGCAGTATTCTGGTGTAGTTGACTGTATAAAGAAAGTGTATGGGCAAGAGGGAATCCCTGGTTTCTATCGAGGTTGTGCAACTAACCTGTTGAGAACAACCCCGGCTGCTGTAATTACGTTTACCAGCTTTGAAATGATTCACCGCTTTCTGCTTACGGTGTTCCCTCCTGATCCACATACTCAACCATTATGAACATAAATAAAAGTTGGTTTCAACACAAGTTTCTGAGAGGTAGGTCAGTATGTTGTGGTTCTATGCACGCTCTTCAATCTTTATTTTTTTTTCAGTAATTTTGGACAATCTTGTGATGGCTATGATGAAGATGATGATGATGATGATGATAAGTTCACATTAGTGCAGAATATTTCATACAAATACTCATGGGGGTTGCTGTATAATCCTTTGGACTCTATTATAACTAGTGGTATTTTTTGAGGCTATTGAGAGCCGGATTTTTTTCGTTAATGAATTATTGTGAAACACATGCCTATTGCAATAAAAAATTCAATACAATAGCAAAACCATTGTGGGATGTTAGATACATTTATGACTTGTTGGTAAATTTTGCCTATAAAAGGCTCCGTTTTCGGAATTGAGAAAATTGTTTGTAGTATCTTTGTTGCCACTGCTTGCAATTCTGATTGTATAAGTTGTGTTGGGGCTTTTTGCATGTATGACTATTAACAATATTTATTTCTAACATGTTATTAGCACGAATGCTCTAAATCCTTCAATGTATTCCAATTATTCTATAGATATATTTCTTTCGCGACATCCTTCAATGTATTTCAATTATTCTATAGATATATTTTTTTCGCATTGTTGCAACATTTATTTAATTTTGTAACAAGGAACTCACGAGTTTTATGGATATACAATGAGGCTTCTCCTCTTGTTATAACATTTATGTAATTTTGTAACAAGGAAACTCATAAGTTATCAACCATGTTCTATCATTTTGTAAGAAGGAAAATCATAAGTTATCAACCATGTTCTATCATTTTGTAACAAGGAAAATCTTAAGTTATCAACCATGTTCTATCTATCATTTTGTAACAAGGAAAAGTTTATGGATGTATAACAAGGCTTCTCTTGTTATCAGCCATCTTCTATCATATTTTGTTAACAAAATATAGACTTAAGGCTTGTATTCTTCCGTGTGCAGATAATCCACTTGTATTCTTCCGTGTGCAGGTAATCCGCTTGCAGTTTAAATCTCAAAATGACAATTGTGGTTTTCATATTACAATTCACTATACATTCACAACAAGAAGATGAAAATTCAGAATATTGTAATATACCTCCCATCCCGTTTTATTCATCAACCTTCCACTTACATCGCTCATGATAACATATTAAAGTTAAATGTATTAATGAACATTTATGAATATGCAGGCTACAAGTATTGACATGAGAACTCACCAATTGAAGTGCAGACAATGCAAAACCATAAATCAACTATTCATTAACAACTCTAACTAAGATGTGCGAAAACAAAGTAGGATTACAAGTGCCGCAAAGGTTTTTGAAATTTCTTACTAGAAATGAAGCATGTCCAAAGGAACAAGCACAATTGTTTGCACATCTTTCTACTTTGTAGATAAAAAAAATTGTACTAAGAAAGTAGGCCTTAGAAATAACATTCATATTTGATGTGAACAAAGGCACATTTATCAAACCCCAAGAGGCAAAAAAGGTGCTTAGGACCTTCGACATCTTATATTGCAAGCCAGCGTAAGATGACCAAAAGGTCCAATTCCGAAAGATACCAACAGAATCTTCCAGCTAAATCCAAAATGCAACAAAACTTTTAACTCGAAGAGAAAAACCCATTTTAACAACAATAAACAGGCTCAGGATCTCACCAAAGATGAGAAAATATCAGGGAAATAAAGTAAAACCACAGAGTTTACTTAACAACACAACAGTCAAAACAAAGGTAAGTAATTTTAGAACTCCTTGAACTAGATAACATAGTTATGAAATAATGACAAGAAAACAAGAGATCAAAAGCACTAGAACAAGATACTAAACAAAAACATGACATGGAGCCACCAATAATCCAAAGGCTGTTCTTCTAAGTTCACTTCTTAGACTTCTTAGTACCCCTGCAAAACAATTATTACAACAGTCAGACCAGTGTTCCAGCAAATAAAACATTTGACTACAGATTTAAGGAACAAGAAAAGGAGGCTTACTGAGCTGGTTGAGATGTGGGCACAGTAGCTCCAGCTGCTGCTGCTGCTTTCTCTCCTGGTCCCTATATAAATAAAAACAATAAANCAACGTTATGGCAACACAAAGGTAGCAATTACAAATCATATACAAGTCAAAAGGGATAATTAACGAGCTAACAAGTACATAGTTAATCAATTATAAAATAAAAGCAAAAATGTGATCTTTGACTGAAGTAGCAAAAATACCTGTGCTAGACGCTCCTCTCTCCTTGCAATCTTCCTTTCCCTACTGGCCTTGTTCTTTGCCCTCTTAGCCTCAAACTGGTCGGACAAAGTCTTCTCCCTAGCCTTCTCAGCCTTGGATTTGTGGATGCTCTCCATCAAAACACGCTTGTTCTTAAAAACATTACCCTTCACCTTCATGTACATGTCATGATACATGTGCTTGTCAATCTTCTTGGCCTCCCTGTACTTGCGAAGCAGGCGCCTGAGAACTCTCATTCTCCTCATCCAAAGAACCTTAGTGGGCAGCCTAGCCTCCCTAGTACCTTTGCGCTTACCTGAAATCAATTACAAATAACGTTAACACAAAGCTGCAAATAAATAAAGGTGCTCACTTTGACTGTTAAGCTTAACTATGTTTTGTCTTTAAGCTAGATCAGACCATCACATGCACAATTGTATAAACAGAAAATTAACTGTGTGGCTTCATGAATAGGAAATAAATATAAATATAAATATAATATAAAATGGGCTAAAAATAATAAATAAAATCTGAAGCAATACCATATCCAGAGTGACGCCCCTTTCTCTTGGCCTCCTTCATTCTGCGGGCACGGGATCGTGAGTGAATCTTGGTGGGCTTCCTGATGATGAACCCATCCTTGACAAGCTTCCTGATATTTTGCCCTTCAGACAAAACAAACCAGAACAAAAATAACAAGAACAGATTTGAACCGTCAGAAAACCACCCAGATTGTGCAGAAATATGGGCTTCAATGTAACAGCCATGTCAAAAACAAAATCATTGGCGTGGCAAACTACACGACTATAGCAAGTTTTTTTGCCTGCTTTGAACCGTTCGTCTGTTTGAAATGAAACAAAGAAACAGAGCCACAAGCAACGAACGAAAAAGGCAAAAGACATCCTATCATCCAGCATCATTAACTTGAACAGTCTTAACACACTCACATCACTACTATCTCCATAATTCGAGCTAAAAACAAAACTGAAGCTTACAGAAACCCAAAACTACTAAATCTACACAAAATCAACACCACTAAGTGGTTCAATCTAAATCAATCCATGGAAACCAGCTATGGGATACATTATAAATCTCTGTTTTATTCCAAAAATAATCATAATAGACGCTGATAAATTCAATTCAATACCTAGTGGAAAACAGCAAAACAATCGGACCAATGAAGAAGACATCAGACAAAAAAGAAAAAGCAACAATCAACTATAGAAAAGCAACCAAGCTCATGGATAACAAACAAGTATGCGATGAAATGCAGAGGATTAGGGCTTACGAGAGTTGGCCATGGAGATTTCGTTGACTTCATTGGGATCAAGCCAGACCTTGCCCTTGCCGCACTTCATCACACTGGCGGCGAGCCGCTTCTGTAGCTTCAGCGACACCATTTCTCCTCTCTTTCTCTCGCTTCTCTCTGTGTGAGGTGTGCAAATGTGAGGAAAGATGAGGGGCGGAGAAGATGGGATTTTATATCAAGCGCTAGGGTTTACAATGATAATTCTTTTCTGGGCCGGGATTAGTGGGCCGATGAAAGGTCCAACCTTTGGATTAAAATGCTCATTGGTTAAACCCACCAACTTCAAGTTCATATGAATAAATTACAAAATATATTTTATAAAAGGTCAAAATGCAATATTCTTCCTATTATATTATGAAGACAGCAACTTGTGTCTCACTGGAGTAGCATTTAGCACCTTAGGTCCTTTAATTTAAATTTTTACTGCAATTAAATCCTTTGATCATAAAAATTCCCAAGTTTGACGGTCAAAATGACTGAAATTGTAATAAAATTTTAAGATATAGGATTCAAATTGCAAATCAAAATCTATCTTAAATATATAAATTGGAATTTTGAAGGCCAAATGACTAAAATTACAACAAAAATTTAAATTTCAAGTCCTAAATGTTGTATGTAACTCCAGTAGAACCTAAATTGTTTCTTTCATAATCTAGTAGGACCAGATTTGCAATTTAACCTTTATAAAATATATTAATTAGTACGGTTAAACATAATTTTTATATTAATTTTATATAATTATATAATTGATAATTGTTATAATTTAATTTTTTTAAATATAAAAAAAAATTATATGGTTTTGCTTAGGTCACCATCTTGACTGATCAATCAATTTAGGTGTGACTAACTTCGTAACGATCTGAACCGCCTAGACGGCACCTAATCACCCGAGCACTTGAAAAGGCTTGTTAGATGAAAATCAGAACGATCGAGTGTTGCCTAGGGACCGACTTTAAATTGAAATCATTCACTAGCCATCCATACAATGTTTCGGCTGGTTTTTCACATGAAAAAACTAAAGAAACATGTCTTATTCACATCACAAAATGCATTGTACCTTTGCTAAATTTATATTTCTATTCATAAACACCAATGACATAAATTTGCCTTATCAATTTTTTTACTCAAAATTCAATTTTCATCTAAATCAACTCAATTTTCCTTAATATTATTAAATAATAAAATAATAATAAAATAACATCAATCGCTTTCTAATAAAATTCAATATTTATCTACTCACCTATATTTACTTTTACATCACATCAATATTAATTATAACTCGTATCATTTCACAAACTCAAAATCACACCCAAATCTCCAATCAATCAACTTTAAATCTTAACTCACTTTATGTAATTAATCAAATCCACTTAAAAAATATTTAATTTCCACTCAATCAACTTTTTTCAATATCAACCCACTTTATCAAATAAATCAAATCCACTCAAACAAACTATTTCCGAATTCCACTAAAAAAATTACTTCCAAATCACATTAGCCACGACACTTGAGTACATTTACCAATTTATACTTTCTTCTTTCCTCTTAGAGTAATGGCAATGGCACTGGAAAATGCATTATAGCTATCAATAAAGTTAAACTTCTACCACCTAGCAATAGAAAATATACAAAATAATGCCAGCAGCCTGAAATCATCACAAATTCTTGCTCTATCCAAGAACTCAGCTGAGCTTTGTTCAGAACAACACAGCTTCCCTCAGTCAAGTAAAAGTTATAACACAGAAGAATGGTAAATAGACAGCGGCATAACATAATTGTATTATGGAGATGGCAATACAAAATGAGGGTACTTAGCAGTCAAAACTTTTGCAACTAGATTTCACCAATAATATTGCACAAAGTGTTTTTTTTTTTTTTTTTGAANGAAGCACAAGTATGTAGTGAAATGGCAAATGGTACTTGCAAACACAGAAGAAGTTAAGTGCTGCAGAAAAAATTGCAAGGCAGTAAACAACTCAAACCCTGAAACCCCTGCTGTTTCTCTTCCCTCGAGCCCTCTCGAACTTCCTTCCCTTAGATCTCACATAGGGCTTGGTGTGACTGTGTGGAACACCAGGAGCTGGGCCAAAATGCTTCACTGCTTCACGAGCCTTGGTCGACCCTCTCAAGAGAACCTGTAATACACCAACATGTTTATACTGGTGTTAAAACTATATCATAATTACTATTGACAAAAAGGGGCATCCGAATGCACCCACATTTTTCACAGAATTATGGTTCCAGAATGTGTTTCAAGTATATAACACCATTTTAATTTCTGCTCGAAAAGTGGAAATTGATTTTGCTTGCATGATGCAGATAACTGCCATAACCAAATTTCGGGAGAAGGCTTATTTTAAGCACCAGGGAAACAAAGTTCAATTCACAAAACTCGAAACATGACCTTTTGGCCTAGAAGTTACATTGTATTATAAGATGGATTTAAGAAAAACACACACACATATATATTGGCATGTCTTGTCAACCAGAAACTAGCAGTAAGCAACTTTGAAGATTCCTTACTGTGTTTTGCCCAAGGGGTGCTTTAAGTGCAAGCTGGTCAAAGGTCAAGCATTCACCACCGGCCTTTTCGATTCGGGCTCTTGCGGTTTCAGTAAACCTCAAAGCAGTAACCTTTAGAGCAGGGACTTCATGCACTCGAATGTCATCAGTAACAGTCCCGACAAGAACTGCAATCTTGTCCTCCTACAGAAAAAATAGTTTCAAAAATCAAATGAAAAAAAAAAAATCATAGCAAAATTAACAACTTAACATAGATCAAGATTACTCCCCCAATAGAAATTGTACTAACTAGAATGTTTGAAAACAAATCACCTAGAATCTTAACATATAAAAACTAGGATCCACAGCCAGACCAATCCATCAAATCAGATAAAATGAAAACTATAATTTATCAATAACCTCAACTCACAAATGAGGTGATTCTAAAGTACTTCCCCTTTTTCCTCATTTTTGCACAATTATCCAGTAATCACCAGCACAGTGAATTTTTGTTAGCCCAAATTATTTTTATGAAATTGGAAAACCAAACTGAAACATAACAAAGAAAACCTAGAAGACAAATTATCTACCTTTCCCTTCATGAGTGCCATTAGTTTGGATAGAGACACGGGGGCTTTGTTGACCCTGCTCATGAACAACCGCTTCAGTATCACCGCATTGAACCTGCTCCCAGTCCTCCTCACCAAAAATCGGTACAGCTACAATGCCAATTGCCAGCCCAAATGCAAAAATCAAGATATATAACCCAATCACTTACGTTTTAAAACCGCATTATAACATCTACACAGCCGATAACAACGAAATTAAATAATAGGGTCAGGAAGAAACACCTTAACGAGGAGCCTGAGGTATATATCATCGGATTTCGGCGCGGTGCGCTTGGTTTTCTTGCTCTTACCTCCGGCGACCAAGTCAATGCCCTAATAAGCAAATAATCGAACACATTCGTTAGAAATGTGATCGCGCATTTTTCTTGCAGAAAAACGAGGATACAGCAGCTTACCATAGCTCCCTTGCCCTTTGCTTACGCTGCGCCCTGCTCGAAGTGTGGAGAATTGGCAGTGGTGAACTGAAATTAGGGTTTTTGTAGTGGTGTGTTTTTCATTTCACGCCGAGTAGTTATTGGGTAGCAAACAGGGTTTTATGCAGACCAAACTTGACCACTTACCCCAAGATTTATGTATTATTAGGCCCACATAATAGCATCTATGAGGCCCAAACTTAACCCCTGGGCATTTTTCCTGTCATTGTTCGGTGAATCCATGAAGAATTTCAAGTATATAATTGGCTAATTTACGTTCGTGCCGAAGTTCTATCCGTTCGAGTGGCTACCTTCAAGTGTCGGATCGTGGTTGTTGTTGTTTTTTGTTAGCTGAGAGGAGAGTGTTAGTTTATTTTTACTAATGTTGTTGTGTTTGTGTTGGTGTTTCCGTGTTTTTTTTGAGTTTTGTTGTTTTCGCTTCTGAGCAGTTGATTCTCCTCTTGTAGGAGTTGTTGTTTCCCTTGTCAAACTTTCTTAGTTTGTCTGTTACGTGGGTGAGTTAGTTTAGTTTCTAGGCTCCTCGTTGTCGGATGTCCTCATACTAGATTCAGTTATTTGGTTGCTTAGCTAAGGGGGTGATTGGATATGAATTCAACTAGTTAAAAAGTAGTTTTTTTAACTATAGTTAAGTTTGAAAAAAAGTAGTATGGTTAATTGTTAGTGAATATATTAAAATAATATTTAAATTAAAATAATTAAAGTTAATTTGATGTAAAAGTAGGAGAAAATGATTAGAAGTGATGGTTAGTTAAAATTATGTAAGTGGTGAATAGTGAATTAAAGTTAATGTGATGTGTAATAATGATTTGTTGATATTATTAATTATATTGATAATATTGGAGATAGTGGAATTGAGTTAAATTTGAGTTTTGAGTGAGATATTTACTGTACAAATTGTATACAATCACGCCCTAAGTTGTCTAATTGTAATTATGTGTTTTTATCTATAAAATATGTCGTTTAAAAAAAAAAATTAATATATTATTATTTAAATTTACGAAAATTTCCTTCTTTACTTTAGTTTATTTGTAGTTTGTTATACGTTTATGTTCTGTAATGTGGCAAAAAGAAAAATATGTTAATATACCAATATAAACTATTAACAAATATCAACTATAACGTATGATCAAGCGACCGTAGCTGGGCTAAGGATAACATGTAGGGTTACTAAATAAACCATATGCAGCCAATGAGTTACAAAGGATTATGATTCCTAATCAAACATGAACAATAAGTATAATCCACCTTGGGATTTGTGTTCACTTGTGAGTAGGAGCCAATAGTTTTTTGGAGGAAATCTAGAGCGATTAAATGCTGACGAATTCCACCAAGGAAACCTCTATTGGACTAGGTGTAAAATCCTCATTTGCCGAAAGTCAAATCACAATTTGATTGTGATGAAAGTTGGTGCAGTTGCAAATAGAGAGGAATCACAAGTTCATAAGGCAAATAAGCGCGCATAACAAGCACAACCCATTCGAATAATCGCAAAAGATTGGATGTTTGTCATCTAGACGACCAAGTAGATCCTTTTAGAATTGGCTTTCCGGCGAAAGAGGATGATGACCATGCTAAGAGATTGGAGTCAGATGTATAGCAGTGAGGACAACAATTATTTGATATTAAAGATTGAAATAGTGTATGCTTTGAAAAGCCGAGAGCTTTTAAAGTATAAGTGGTAGGTGACGACTCTCTGCGTCTATTCTGTATACGTTTGGACTTTGTTGACTTCGACTTTGGGCCAGGTTAATACTACATACTCTCTTAATATTCAGTCTTGTTTTTTCATTTACGTTTCATATCCATTATGTCTGATAGAAACTACTTATCTATCTATTTTGCACATTTATTACACTTTGATCGGTTTTCAAGGCTTCACTTCAGCAAAAGAGGTAAGGAGGTTTGAGTATCTGAACCCGAACCCAAAAATCAAAAAGAAGAAGACCAAGATGGACCGCTTATCATTTTTTGGCTCAGAGGATAGTATTCTCCGGACAAGGTGGCATAGACCCAGTTCCGGAAGCCTAGATGGGAGAAGGTTTCACCAGTGCTGGCCAGGCGTCGACCCAGCCCGAACGAACGAGGACCATTTGGACAACTAGGTCTGGGATCTTATGAAAACGACACCCTTTGATCCATTCCAGCTTGGATCCGGTCAAGAAGAAAATTGTCGGGGGTGATCTCGAACAAATGGTTCGTTCACTTCAAATCTGTTATTCCGCCTTCTCTACCGAACCGCTTCTATCTCCTCGAGCACGTAATGAATGCCACTCTGGTCCCCATCACGAGTTGTGAACTCCCAGCCAAGCAAATGTCCTCAGGGTTGAAAATTGTTGACTGATTGGAGCATTCGTTAGCCACTGTCGGATGAGTCTTGTCCAACTTGACCCTGTTGGTGTTCATGTGTGATTTTACACCATATTTATTGAGTATCTAGAGCTTAGTCATTGCGTTATTGGTGTATAAACCGCATATTTGTGCTTTAATTCTCTATTTGTTGGAAAGGTATTACACGTTCTTGTTTTGTAGATATTTTCACATATTTATAGAGCTTGTGGCTATTGGAGGCGCATTGTGAGTACCTAGGACCCCCGAGATGATGATGGATTGATGCACGGATGAGAAATATGGAAGAAACGAGTGAAACGGACAAAAAACGAGAGTGCTGGGATGTGACACGGGCAGTGACACGGGCACCATGCCCGTGTCAGGTGGCCGTGTCACATGAACAGGGGCATTCCGAGGCTTGATACCTGACACGACCCGTGACACGGGCTGTGACACGGGCGTGTCAGGCCGTGTCGCGCGCTGGAACAGAATTTTAATACTTGCCTAATTTGACTAGGAGAGGTTTTTGGACACAAGAGGAAGCATATTTAACCTAGTTTGAGAGGCCAAAACGAGGGGAACACGTTAGAGAGGCTTGGAAACACACAAGAGGAGCAATTGGAAGGCAAAAGGAGATCAACCACAAAGGGATCAAG